GCACTTCAACATCAACTACATGTGAAGAGTACTTTGTTAGCTGAAAGCTTCTTTGAGATGTTCCAAAGTGTTAAAGGTATGATGTAAATTTAAGTTCTTGTTTCATTTTAAATGTAACTTAAATCTGATATTGCAGGAATGCACAGAAGTTAACTATCAACACTGAAACAATGAGGAATGTGATTCTTTGTAGCAGTTAGCCTCTCTTTCTTTCAGAGTCAGTTCATCCCTCAATCCTAGTTATACCTAATACAAGTTTTGTGTTAATGTGAACCTCTAACTGCTCTGTGCTAAAGCTAAATGTATATAATGCATGTATGGAATTGAAAGACTGCCATTATCCTGGTGAATGGTGCAGCAGGCTTGATGGGCAGAATGGCCTACTGTTCTTATTTTCTATATTGAGAATGTATTATCAAACAAGATCTGTGAGAACATTTCTGGCAATTTGTTCCAGCTCTGTGCAGAATCGCAACCAGTGCAGGATAATTTTCAACCTAGCAGAAGATCCTATTTTAAAAGCACCCAGGAATTATGATGACTTTCCTTCAATCTTTATCAACAGATTTTAATTTCATTTTTAATGTTCAGCTAATCATTCTCTCCTATCCTCCTTGCTTGTCATATAACTAGGATTTTCTCTGTAGAGGTAATACCAGTGGATAGATGGTTATCTCAGTTGACATTTTTCTGGTTTTCAAAGAAAGCCAACAAATAAATCATCATGGAAATGCCACTTAAAAATGATTTGAGCTTCTACTAATTATTTCCCTATGCTGGATTTTTTTTTGTCAAGAATAATTTGACAAACTCTCAAATCCAGTTCTTAATTGTTTTTTTTTTGCAGGGTTATCTGACATGTCAGATTAGTTTTACTTAATTCAACATGAAATAATCCATCTGTGAAAAATTTAGCCTGACAAGCAAATGGGTTTTTTCCCCTGCATTAATACAATAAAGGGATTAATCAAATTCAAAATAACAAATGCGGCAACTTGAAGACAGAGCGGCAACTTAAACTATAGCACGGATTATTTGAATATTGTACAATAGGACAACATTAAATATCGATCTATGTGAGCAAAACTAAAGAAATTAGTATGGAGTTAGAGGCAGTGAACAGTGTACACGCTGAATCTCCCACCACAACACATGGGGCACATCACTCACTTCACTCAAATCTTGCTGTGATCTGGCACTGGTCCAGCTCATTATTTTTGAGTTTCAAGAGAAATTTCAATCTCCAACTGGAGTTAAATGGAATACACAGAGCTCTCCTCCAATCTCCAGTTCTCGTCACATGGTCTGTTTTAAAGCACTTCATCAGCACGCAGTGATAATCAGCGTTGAGCGGCTTGAATCTCACAGCCGGCATTGCGTATTTTGTTGAAAACAGTTAAGAGACAGTGTTTATTGAATATCAAATTAAATATCTTTAAAGGCTGTTGAAACCTCTATTTGCAGCAATAGTTTAGTCTCGTTCAGAATGAGATTCAGAAGAGAACTGATGTTTTATCCAACAGCTGTTTAATATTCTAATAGCTGGTTTGTGGCACATATGCAAAGTTTCTTTTGCGTGGAAACTATTATACGAATGTTTAAATGCCACTGCTAACTACAGAGGAAAGTTACCAGAGAGAAAACATGGTTCTCGCTCGACAGTGCCAGGAGTGTTGCTTTTTGGCCATTGTGCATATTTGTGGTGCTTCCATTTGACCTTGCACTTTAATACAAGGTCATCGCATTATAATAAACATTTCAGTGCTTCCAGCAATTTAGTACTGTATATGTTGAGAGCCCCATAGTTCCAGAAGCAGGTTATCCAAACGCCCTTGCTTCTCCTCAAAGCACATTTGTAACTTGGTGGGGGGGATGTTTTGAGTTAGCTAAGGGTTTGAGAACTACATCAATTGATGATAACTGGCTTGATTTTCAAAAGTTGCAGCAGACAGTTTCGGGGGTAGGTGCATGAAACCTCCCCAGTCCCACCCCACTCCACCTCCCGGATTCAGGAGACCGATTTCCTGGCCAGTATGCTCAGATTTCCATTCAAGCTGATGGGACGTACCAGACGGAATCTGCGAACTGGCCGCTTAAGAAATTAACCAAGCTTGTCAACAAGCTCGTTCTGAACGCAGTAGTTAATCTTCGATTGCAGGAGTTGGGAGTAGAGTCACATCATGGGGGGAGGAAGCAGTGTCATTGTGAAGAGTGTTCATTGGCACCAGGAGAAAGGCAAAACAGCAGACACGGCTTGAAAGACTGAGATGGCCATCTCAATGCCAACAGCAGAAGGAATGTAAAGTTGGCAACAGACTCAAATTGCAAAGGAGCTTCAGAGAGGGAGGGCAAAGTGCATACCGAGACCGGGACAGAAAGTGACGATACAGCTCTGGCAAGTCAATCAGAATTTGAAAAGAGAGCGCAGATTGACATGTAGACTGAAGACAATTTTTATGGCCACTCCCCCTCTTCTCTCCTTCCTTGGCTGATCAATCACTTCACATAACACAACAGTGTAGGAAGTCTCCCTACACAGAAGATGTACAATTTGAAGCATGTGTGTGCTTTGTAAGAGTTTGGCTGTCTTTCCCTGTCTGGGAGGGTTAATGGACCTTTCTCACAAGTCTTTCCCACACCACTGCACTGTCATAAACTCCTTCTTGTGTTTTTCTCTCTACAGATGCTGCCAGATCCAGCATTTCTGTTTTTTCAGACACCAACAACTTCACTTTCCCCTGCTACTAATAACCTCTTCGAAGGAACATATTGTTACAGAGTAAGAATCACACATCAAACGCTATGCAGTGACTCCTGCGTCAACACAGTGCACATTAGTTAAAATAAAAACTGAAAGAACTGCGGATGCTGTAAATCAGGAACAAAAACAAAGTTGCTGGAAAAGCTCAGAGGGTCTGGCAGCATCTGTGAAGGGAAAAAAAAGAGTTAACGTTTCAGGTCCGGTGACCCTTCCTCAGAACTGATGGTGGCTGGTAAAACGTCAGTTTATATGCAGAAAAGTTGGGTTTAGATTGGAATATGTTTCACCAGTGCTTTCAGTACCAAAAATACCCTTTATTGAGAAGGGACATTTGGCCCCTGTGAAGATAACTGTTGTGTACTGAATTTGTAGAGTACTTGACAAAACGCTTGATTGGCGGGGCCTTGATAATTGAGTGTCATGTTCTATCTAATTGTCTCCTGACAGGGGCTCAACTCCTTCTTGTGGTTTGCTTGGCTCAAACTGTGTTAGGAGTACGTGTTGTACCCTGCTACTGTGTAAGGTTTTACCCTTAGGTTGGAGAGTAGTCACCAGCTACAAGTGCAGTGTATTCTCCTGGTCTCCAGCAGTCCTTCCTGCAGAATTAAGGGCTCTTTAACTGACACTGATGTTCAGTAAAATGAATTATGGAAGCTGCCAGGTAACAAGAGTTCTTGTTTATCCTTCTGGTCCATTGGTCACAGTTCAGCTGAACATTTATGGGATGGTGGCTGTTTCTGTTCAGGAATTAAAAATGGAATCTTGAGCGGTCAGTCAAACACACCTGCAGCTGGGAACCCCTGCTACACTGTAGAATACTCTTTTTTTTCTGCTATGGCTGTTTTCCAAGAAGTAATTAATGATTGTTTAGTCTTGGTCATTGTTGCATCAGTGAGCTGCCTGATACAAATGTGTTCTGAAGGCTGCAAAATCTGACAGAGATCTTCTGTGTTGCTTGACACTTAAGTTTAACAGAACGGTTAGGTTCACAGTGACCAACCAAGCTGTCATTGTCATGGAAGCTGTTCCCAAGCCTGGTTTACAGGAGTGTGCTTAGTTCTGTAGCAACCTTATTTGGAAATGTTGTCGTCCACATAGAATTTTTAAGAGGCTTGACAGGGTTGATGCTAGCAAGATATTTCCCCTGCCTTGGGAGCCTAGAACTAGGAGTCCCTAGCTCAGAGTAAAAGGTCAGACATTTAAAAATGAAATGAAGAGCAATTTCTGCACTCAAGGTTGTGAAGTTTTGGAATGCTCTATTGCAGAAAATGGTGACTGTGTCAAATATGTTCAACTGAAGAGATTAATAGATTACAGGATATTCAAGGAATCAATTCAGGGCTTTGAGTTTAGTCCAGAAATGTGTAGCTGATGTAGACATTAGTCACAATCCTTTTGAATGGTAAAGCAGCCCAGAGTTGCTGACAAACTGACATATATCTGCTCCTATCTTGCGTACGGGTATCCAGATAGTACAGTCAGTCTTTTAGATAGCCGGTGGTATTTTAAGGATTGATTCAAAAGTCTTAAATACCTGAAGTGGTTGTGTAATTCCCCTGCACAATCTACAAGTAATGGAAGTCCATTCGTAACTATGTCCATGCGATTCAACGCATACCTATTGTAACAATGTCAATGTAAGTCATAGACAATTTAGACTTGGTGCAAGTTGGGATACAGGCAGCAGAGTTTTTGGATCAGCTCAAGTTTATGGAAAGTGCAAGGTGGAAGACCAGCTCATAGATCATGGGAATAGTTGCGTCCAGTGGTAAATAAAGCATTGCTAAGATCTTCAGCAGCAAGTCAGCTGAGGCAAGGTGGAGACTGACTTCTCAAAATGCTTCATAGTCAATGAGCCACTTTTAAAGTGTGATCACTATCATTTAAGTGAGAGATCTGGCAGCCCATTTAGGTAAAGTAAGAATGTGCAGAATTCTGGTGGACTTGGTTGAAGGAACATAGCAATATATGAACAGGATGAGGACATTTGGTCTGCTCGAGCATATGGTTAGGCCCGGTCCTACAAAATGTCACATCGAGGTACAAGTTCTATTCATAGTAAATTCAAAATAGCACCAGAATAGCTTGCCTGATCAACTATTTTATAAATGGTTTAGAATGCAAATATGAATTTTAACACATACTGATTGTAATTGAAAACCACCAACCTGCTGCTTTTGTGTTAACTTTGTGCCATATCTTGTGAGTCTAACTCTGCCATTGTTCTTACCTTCTTTAGGTTCATACTGTGCTGCAAATCTGAACAAGTGCCTCTCTAGCTCCTGCAAAAAAAATGCAACCTGTGAACCACACTCTCAGGCCTACGTTTGCCATTGTCCACATGCACCAGTGCCATTCACAGGGAAGAACTGCAAGGAGCTATATGACATCTGTGCTTTATATCCCTGTCTGCATAATACAACGTGCAACAGTGTTTTAGGCACAATTGACTTCTCCTGTGACTGTCCTCCTGATCAAATTGGCCCCAGTTGTGAAACTTATCTCGGCAAATGTGCCAACATCTCCTGCATGAATGGTGCCATCTGTTTAGATGATGCTGCAGGCTCTAGCTGTGTTTGCCCACCAGGCTACACCGGCACCAACTGTGAAACCAATGTGAATGAATGTGCATCAAATCCATGTGAAAATGGAGCTGTGTGCAAGGACAAGATTGATGGATTTTCATGTTTCTGTGTGCCTGGCTACCAGGGCAGACGGTGTGAGATTGAAGTCGATGAATGTGCATCAGAACCCTGCAGGAATGAAGCTAGGTGCATGAACGAAATAGACAAGTATATCTGCATCTGTCCACCTGGTCTGACAGGTAAAAAGTACTTTACTTTCTAGCCAGTCTGACTATTACTTGGTAAACTTTCTTCACGGAATTCTGCTGTTATCATTCCAAAAGTGCCCATTTGAAACAAAAAGAAATTTCAGTTCTTGCATTTAAATTGAAAGCTTTGTTTATTATTTCACAAAAAGTTCCTAGAATTTTATAGCGAGAAAGGAACCATTTGGCCCAATAAGTTTTTGCTTCAGTCTTTGAAGAGTCTTCCAGCTAGTCCCATTCCCCTGACGACAGGTTTTATGTTTTTCAGTTTTTTTTCAAGTAAACTTCTCAAAGCTACTTTGAATCTGCTTCTATTATTCTTCCAGTGTATACCAGATCATATCCCAGATTTAGCACAGGAACTATTCATCAATTATTAAAACAATTATATAAGTCAATATATCTATTCCAACAATGCCACCTTTTATTGGTTTATAATTTTTAAATGCTGCAGGAGTCTTTTTTTAAAATGAGTTCTGTCAAGTTATGTTACAAATTGTACCAGTTAATTGCAAGCATTTTTTCAAAGTCGTTTTGATTCACAATATTGCCAGCACAACTTGCATAATTCAAATGGGCAACTGTGCGTCATTGTGCTTTTCACATTTCAGGGAGAAAAGGGCAAAAAATTTGAAGCTAGAAATTCCAATGGCATAAATGTTAAAAATAATGAGGAGTAATAGATCCACAGAAACCAAATCAAACGGCTGCTACGCTTAAACTCACTCAATAATTCACGACGACTGTATCCTATTCTTGATTGTTCCAGCAACACACATCGTTACATTTGTGCTGTTTTTCATAATGAAAGTTATCCAGCATACTTCTCACTCAATAAGGCCATGAGTCAGGGAACTTAGAAAAGGAAAAGCTGTTCCCATTAGCTGACAGCACAAGGACGAGAGGACATGTATTTAGGGTTATGCATTGGGCGTGAGAGGAAGAACTTTTCTTATGCAGTTAGTGATAATGGCCTGGAACTCTGCTCCCAAGGGTAGTGGAAGAGAAGACAAGGATGATTTCCAAATTAGATTGGATGAGCACTTGAGGGAATTAAACTTGCAGGACTACAAGGATAGAACAGGATAGAGGGGAGACTGACTAGATTGCTATGGAACTGGCATGGTATTGATGGGCCAAATGCCCTCCTTCTGAACTGTAAGCATTCCATGAATCAAACTGCACTTACAGCTGGCCTGTACCCCACCCTATAGATTCTGCACGGGCACTGTCTTGCCAATAAATATTATAAAAGGTGAGAAAATATCAAGTAAGAATTTACTAGATTCACACATCATCCTTTTTCCCTTTTTATAAAAGGTGCTACATAAATGCATGTTGCTGTGGATATGCACAACTTGACTGAAGGGAATTCTGAGATCTTACAAACACTGACTCCAATTCATAACGCAGTATATCCTGTTATTTCAAAAGCAGGACAAATCCAACCTGGTCAGTTACTGCCCCATTGTTCAATTCTCTGCCATCTGTAAAATGATGGAAGGAGTCGTCATCGGTGCTATAAGTAGCATTTACACAGCAATAGCCTGCACACTGGCACTCGGGTAAGGTTTCACAAGGCAATCGGCTTCTGAACTTAACAAAGCGTTGGTTTAAACATGGACAAAAGAGCTGAATTACAGAGGTGAGTTGAGAATGACTGCTCTTGATATCAAGGCAGCATTTGAGACAGTAGGTCATAGCAAGTCAATCAGAATTTCAGAAATTGGTTACAGTCATATCTAGGACAAAAGAGGCCAACCATCCTAATCCCAGGACACCACTCCAGGAATTCCTGCGGCTAGTGTCTTAAACGCAACCAGCTGCTTCATAAATGGTGATCCCTCCATCATAAGTTCAGAAATGGGATATTCACTGATGAATACATAATGTTTAGCACCATTCAAACTCCTCAAATACTGGAGTAGACCATGTCCATATGTATCAAGGCCTGGACAACATTCACAAGTGACATTTGTGTCAAACAAGTGCCAGCTAACAACAATAATGAGAGAATCTAATCATTACCCCTTGAATGTTAATGACATTTCCATTACTAGATTCCACCACCTCACAACCATGCTAATATCATGGGGCTGCCTTTGACCAAAAATTTAACTGGAAGAGCCATAAAAATACTGAGGCTAACAGAACAGGTCAGAGGTTGGGAATTCTGTGGCAATGTACCTCCTAACTCCCCGATGCCTGTTCACAATCTAAGGCACAAGTCAGCTGTGTGCTTTGATACTCTCTACTTACTTGGATGGGTGCAGCTCCAACCACAGTCAAGAAGCTCAACACCATCTGAAACAAAGCAACCACTTAATTGGCAGCCCATCCACCGCCTTCAACATTCACTCCATCCACCATACTGGCACAGTAGCGTATTTACCATATACAAAATGCAAGGCTCAACTCACCAAGGTTCTTCTGACAGTACTTTTGAACAAACAGCCTTCACCACCGAGAAAGACAAGGATAGCAGATGCGTGGGAACGCTACTACCTGCATGCAATCCACCATTCTGGCTTGGAAATATACCAATATTACTTTACTGTCCCTGGGTTAAAATCCTAGGACTCCCTTCCTTCCTAACAGCACTATGGTTGTCTCTACACCAAATGGTCTGTAATGGTTTAAGGAGTTAGCTGACCACTACTTTCTCTAGGGCAATTAATGATGAGCAACAAATACTGACCTAGCCAGCAATGTATGCATACTGTGAAAGGACAAATTTAAAACGAAATCAATGACGCCTAGGCAGACTCCAAAGAAATTCAAATTCAGAATCTTCTTGTACAAAATGAAAGAAGAGAAGATAATATAAGGAATGAAAGAAGTCCAGATTCATGAGGATCAAAGGCTCAGAGTATGCTGCATGTTTATAAGACGTGATTATTTCAAAGAAGCAGTCATTTAATTTTACTCTCCTTTAATAATGTAATAATATTAACTGAGCATAAAATAAGTTCGTTGTTACTACAGTTGTACCAAAACCAGACATTCCCAAGCTGTTATTTGCAATGCTTAATTCATATATTTTGTGTCTTATCATGAAGCCGTTTCTTTTCTATGTGACATAATGAAGATCCCAGTTGCTGATATGCTTGCCTGTCATTCTCCTTGAGCATTGTATTAGCTTATTGGAACTAATTTTGACTTTGGAAGCAAGTATAAAATGGGTGATACCTGATCGGACTCTTGTTAGGCACTTGTCCTGATCTGAATTCCCATTGATTTCCTGTTGTCATATTATTATCACAAACTGCATTCTGGAAGCAGATGAGCCTGCAGCTCATAGCATCATAGTCATACAGCATGGAAACAGACCCTTCCGTTCAACCATTCCAAGCTGAACATCCTCCAAAACTAAACTAGTCCCACTCCCTGCTCCTGGCTCATATCCCTCCAAACCTTTTCTATTCATATACTTATCCAAATGGCTTTTAAATGTTGTAATTGTGCCCATATCCACCACTTCCTCAGGAAGTTCATTCTGTGTGTGAAAAACAAAATTTGCCCCTCATGTTTCTTTTAAATTTGATAAGCGGCACACATGTTTGAGAGAAGAATAACATCCTAAATCCTCCTGAAATCTTCGTGTCCTTTTTAGGTAATTGGGCAAACGTGACAAGTGTGAATCCCAAATGGGATTCAAACCATATCTCTCAGGTGATTTATAGATCATGTATCTTCTAGATCACTGTGAAGTATTAAACTTAATATAAAATACTTGAGTTAACATTTTCGGGTCTGGGACCCTCACTGGACCCAAAAGGTTAACTCTGATTCCTCTCCACAGATGCTGCCAGACCTGCTGAGCTTTTCCAGCAATACCTCTATTTTTGTTCCTGATTTACAGCATCCGCAGTTCTTTCAGTTTTTATTTAAAATAATTGAGGATATCTAACAGTTGAATCTTTGGTTTTCTATGGTCATGCATTCACTTATTGGATTATATTTTGTAGGAATAAATTGTGAGCTGGAGATCAATGAATGTTTGTCACAGCCATGTCTGAATGGGGCAACCTGTCACGATCACTTTGCCAGCTACAGGTGTACGTGTGCTACGGGATTCAAAGGAAATGACTGTGAAATAAACTTTGATGAATGCGCTAGTCAGCCATGCCAGAATGGAGGGCAATGTATAGACAAAGCAAATGGGTAAGTTGTATAATCATGGCAACCGTAGGTACAAGCAACAGCCAGCAAAGAACACCAGGTACTCAATGCATGTACCCATATGCATTTACACCTCAATGTACAGCAAACCGAATCCAAAACAGCATGGTGCTCTCGAAAGGGGATCTGGGACCTGTGTGAAAAGACAAGTGACTGTACAACCCTCTAACTGGCTTGAAAAATCTTAACTAAGGAATGCAGAATCTAAACAAGGGAGTGTAGGTAAACAGTTAATTTTTCAATGTAAAATTGTGTGTAGAAAGCAAAATAAGGAAATAGAAAGGAAGAATTTAGAGAGCGAGAGAGAGATAAAAGAAACAAATAAGTAAAGGTGGTCAGGTTCAATGGGCACATTTCATACACGACCAAGTTTCACAGGTTTCATATGTTTCAATGCTGAGTCTCCAGGCAAGACATGGGGATATAGCAAAACTTTAGGAGGAGCAGGACAATTCGGGCAGCAATTTCCTGTAATCTGGGTTAACAGCACATGTAGCTGCTGGAACTTGCTGTTGGATTTGCATTTCAAGCATAGTATGCATCGATATCCTTACTGCAAAATCCAGGTTCTGACTATTAATTAGTCACACAGGGTACCACAGTACTCCAGTATAACAAAATATTCTAAAATTTCTGAACTTATGGTTATCTTGCACTTCAGACTTGCTGAATTTAAAAAAAAATCTTTAGCCAAAACTTTAGAAAGTTTGATGCATGTTTAGAAAATAGTCTTTTCTAAAATTAAACATTACTGTCTTATGGATTTTGAATTACCTTGAAGAGGCTATAATGCTGTCACTTTGTAGTGGTCTTAAAAGCAGAGGTAAAAGGTCTGGGCACTTTGAAGATTTTACTTTTTGAGAACATTTGGAGACAAACAGTTCCAAGCGTGAACTCAAAGTGTCAGGCATTCAGTGTTTAATTTATGCCTTTAAAAGTAGCAGAAAGAAAGCATTTGGCAAACTTCTTTTTATGTTCAGGCCAAATGCAAACCATTTGTCACAGCATTCACAACATCAACTGCAAATGACACTGCTTTGTCTCCGTTTGATTTACATGCGTTGCATCAAGGGCCTGCAACCAGACAGAAGGTGGTTGGCAAAAACCCTTGCCATGATGATAGTAGTCCTCTGGGATGCTGCAAATATATCTTATTTCAAAAGAAGTCTGTCTGCTGTGATAAGCACCTGAAAGAGAACAAAGCATGAAAGGGCTGATTGCCAGTCAGAGCAGTTTACCAGTTTAGCATCAGCGGAGGGCAAAGAATAATTTGTGTCAATAAATGGTTTTTTTTTGTTACCTTCCAAATGTCTTTGATTAATTCTCAAAAATTTTAAAATCTTTTCGAAACACTGTTGCCGCATCTTAGATCAACTATTTACTGTTTTGAGTGACTTAGTATATGGAGTTTGTGAATGAGTTTTCTACTTCTATGTATTTTCATGTATAGATTACATTTTTATTCCTTTCAATGTGGAGTGGGTCTACATATTCCATAGCTTGGTAAACGAAGCATTGTAATTCCACAAGTAACTTGTTATGAGAGTACAGGAACATTGGTAGATGTATGAATCTGACTATTGAATTCTGGTCGGTTTCAATTCAAAACTGAGAAGAATGATTGATTGAAAATTTGATGAGGAAAGAAAGGATTTAAAATGTTGCAGTCCTTACTCATGCATATATTACATCAAACAAGCCAAAAATAATAACTGTTAATTCCATCAACAGCGTTTTTATCCAGAAGTTTAAAGCTCTGTTCTCAATAATCTTTAGCAATATCCGAATCAGACTAATGTTTTATTGATTGCATTACAGATATAGCTGTGACTGTGCGAACAGTCAATTCACAGGTGCACACTGTGACATCTATGTTCCAGCTTGTCTTTCACATCCCTGCCTCAACAACGCCACCTGCCAGGACAATATTGGAAACTACACTTGCCACTGTTGGACAGGTTTGTATGAAACCTTTAATGTCATATGGTCAAAAAATCAACAATATTTGACTTACAACAAAAAAAAATTATTGCACATGTATTAATTGTTACATATTTAAAATCAACTGATTTGGGAAGATTATAACCATATATTTTTGCATGCATGATATGGTCATCCTTTTTGGGGGAGAGAGAAATGGATGAAATCTGGTGAGATGAATGATACATCTGAGACTGCCAGTCAGAAGGAGAGGAAGAAGGCCCAAGCCCAGATGGAAAACTATAGTAAGTGAGGTGCTTAGATGTAGCAGAATGGAAGGGAAATGGGTGATTGACAGGTGAGGATGGAGAAGGGTGACCAACCAGCATTGTGACAATCCCAGGCAAATGGGTGAACCTGAGAAACAGGGTATTTTGTATGCTCTGACTAATGCCTCGGATCACCTCGCTGCTGATTTACAAACGGAGGGTGCAGAATTTTATGAAGGTTACCAGTGTCTCTGCCACCAGCTAGGGAGCCAGTAATGGAACCCACACTGCCTCTGATTTATGAGCCCATTGGGCCACTAACATGGGATCAAAACACTTGGATCAGTAGGCCCTGCACAGATCTGCCTGCCTATCTGAGGCTGTTTTGTTGCAGAGCTGCCTGCCTATCTGAGATAACAAGGTGTAGAGCTGTATGAACACAACAGGCCAAACAGCATCAGAGGAGCAGGAAAGCTGACGTTTCGGGCCTAGACCCTTCTCCAGAAATGGGGGAGGGGAAGGGGGTTCTGAAATAAATAGGGAGAGAGGGGGAGGTGGATAGAAGATGGATAGAGGAGAAGATAGATGGAGAGGAAACAGACAGGTCAAAGAGGCGGGGATGGAGCCAGTAAAGGTGAGTGTAGGTGGGGAGGTAGGGAGGAGATAGGTCAGTCAAGGGAGGACGGACAGGTCAAGGGGGCGGGATGAGGTTAGAAGGTAGGAGAGGGGGGGGGGGCTTGAGGTGGGAGGAGGGGATAGGCGGGAAGAAGGACAGGTTAGGGAGGCGGGGACGAGCTGGCCTGGTTTTGGGATGCGGTAGGGGGAGAGGACATTTTGAAGCTTGTGAAGTCCACATTGATACCATTGGGCTGCAGGGTTCCCAAGCGGAATATGAGTTGCTGTTCCTGCAACCGTCGGGTGGCATTGTTGTGGCACTGCAGGAGGCCCAGGATGGACATGTCGTCTGAGGAATGGGAGGGAGAGTTGAAATGGTTCGTGACTGGGAGGTGCAGTTGTTTAGTGCGAACCGAGCGTAGGTGTTCTGCAAAGCGGTCTCCAAGCCTCCGCTTGGTTTCCCCAATGTAGAGGAGGCCACAACGGGAGCAGCGGATGCAGTATACCACATTAGCAGATGTGCAGGTGAACATCTGCTTGATGTGGAAAGCCTTCTTGGGGCCTGCGATGGGGTTGAGGGGGGAGGTGTAGGGGCAGGTGTAGCACTTCCAGCGGTTGCAGGGAAAAGTGCCGGGTGTGGTGGGGCTGGAGGGGGAGTGTGGAGTAGACAAGGGAGTCACGGAGAGAGTGGTCCCTCCGGAAAGCAGGTAAGGGTGGGGAGGGAAAAATGTCTTTGTTGGTGGGGTCGGATTGCAGATGGCGGAAGTGTCGGAGGATGATGCGTTGGATCCGGAGGTTGGTGGGGTGGTACGTGAGGACGAGGGGGATTCTGTTTTGGTTGTTATTGCAGGAGGGGGTGTGAATGATGAGTTGTGGGGAATGCGGGAGACATGGTCGAGGGTGTTCTCGACCACTGAGGGGGAGAGGTTGCGGTCCTTGAAAAACGAGGACATTTGAGATGTACAGGAGTGGAATGCCTCATCCTGGGAGCAGATGCGGCGGAGGCGAAGGAATTAGGAATAGGGGATGGCATTTTTGCAGGAAGGTGGGTGGGAGGAGGTGTATTCTAGGTAGCTGTGGGAGTCGGTGGGCTTGAAATGGATATCGGTTTCGAGGTGGTTGCCCGAGATGGAGACAGAGAGGTCCAGGAAGGAGAGAGAGGTATTAGAGATGGTCCAGGTGAACTTAAGTTTGGGGTGGAAGGTGTTGGTGAAGTGGATGAACTGTTCGAGCTCCTCGTGGGAGCACGAGGCGGTGCCGATACAGTCATCAATGTAACGGAGGAAGAGGTGGGGTTTAGGGCCAGTGTAGGTACAGAAGAGGGATTGTTCCACGTAACCTACAAAGAGGCAGGCATAGCTTGGGCCCATGCGGGTACCCATGGCCACCCTCTTTGTCTGTAGGAAGTGGGAGGAATTGAAAGAGAAGTTGTTGAGGGTGAGGACGAGTTCGGCTAAGCGGATGAGGGTGTCAGTGGAGGGGGACTGGTCGAGCCTGCGGGACAGGAAGAAGCGGATGGCCTTTAGGCCATCTGTATGGGGAATGCAGGTGTATAGGGACTGGACGTCCATGGTAAAGATGAGGTGTTGGGGACCAGGGAATTGGAAGTTCTGGAGGCGGTGGAGGGCGTGGGTGGTGTCACGGACATAGATAGGGAGTTCCTGGACCAAGGTGGAGAAAATGGAGTGGAGATAGGTGGAGATAAGTTTGGTGGGGCAGGAGCAGGTGGAGACAATGGGTCGACCAGGGCAGTCAGGTTTGTGGATTTTGGGAAGGAGATAGAAGCGGGCGGTGTGGGTTTGGAGAACGATGAGGTTGGAGGCTGTGGGTGGGAGGTCACCTGAGGTGATGAGGTTGTGGATGGTTTGGGAGATGATGGTTTGGTGGTCAGGGGTGGGGTCATGATCAAGGGGGCAGTAGGAGGAGGTGTCGGAGAGTTGGCGCCTGGCCTCGGCGATGTAAATGTCAGTGCGCCATACTACAACTGCGCCACTGCCTGCCTATCTGAGGCTGTTTTGTTGAGCAGCGCCTCTGGGAATACAGTGTCTGTTGTGGGAAGTATAGCTACTGGAGGCCCAGAATCACAAAGCGACCCTGGCCTGAAGAAGTACTGGTGGGAGGAGTTTCCTGGGGCTCAGGTCACAGAGCTGGAGCTCCAAGATGTCCTAAATGTAATGATTTGTAATGAGATCGGCCAGCTGGACCTAATAGAATATGTGTTCCTCGATTGGTGCTGTTAATCTGGTCCAATCTGAGAGTCCTGGCTGACAGATAAAGAGGAATGTCAAAGATATTCTCTGAGAGCTGACTCTGAAGAAGCAGTAATAAAGTCAAGGACTGTTCGTGTAAATAAAAGGTGACTTGGTGACAGGATACCAGCCTCTGTGGAGTTATTTCACTCAGCAAAAAGTGCTTCTGAAAAGCAAAAGAATTGTCAAACTTGCAAATGACATATACTTATCCGATTTGTATACCTCAAAATGAAAGTCCAGTGTGACCAGCATGTTTATTTCAAAGTATTATTGGATTTTTTTTCTTGTTTTTTTCTCTCTGGACTTTCAGTGGAACCTGGTTCAAGTCCCACTATGGTAGATTGTGACAGATTTCAATTTAAAAATATCTGGAGTTATGAGTCTAATGGTAATCAGAAAAACCTGCCTGGTTAAACAGTGCCCTCTGGGGAAGGAGACGGGCTACATGTGACGTGAGACCCACTGCCATGTGGTTGACTCTTAACTGCCCTGTGTGCAATTAGGGATGGGCAATAAATGCTGGCCTAGCCAACAAAGCTCACATGCTGTGAACAAATAAAAGAACCTCACTTCCAACCTCTTCACAATGCTAGCCCCCCTCAATCAGCATTGAATGCCTTTGAATGGGTGACCACCACACCTACCACAATTCACCACACACCTAGAGCCATGGGAGACCACACGCTTTCTTGTCACGCATGGCTGAAGGCCCACTTGCCTATTGATGAGGTTTTTTTTTAAGTGAGCATTAAATGACAGCAGAGCAGGAGGCTGTCCTTTGGCCTTCCCACCACAGACTTAATTTGTGTGGAGGTAGGAAAGTGGTAATGCCTCCATCCAACTCCGTCCCATTTGACTAAATGACATTCCTACCTCCAAACAGGTAAAAGGGTACAAATGCCAGAAACGTGTGTTCTCTGTTTCACTCAGGCAGACCAAGTCGTTCTAATCACACAACATGACTCTCCCTGTTGAAAAATTTGTCCTCATTTGTAAACATGAAATGCTATGAGGGGGAAGGCAGTTATTTGACCTATAGAAGGTGACCACACCAGTCCTACATCTTCTGCTCCCACAGTGGTTTAGTCACAGAGTAGCTCAGTCACAGGGCATGGGACAGTTCAATCCCTGTTCTGTGTGAGCTGGTTGTTCATTGCAGGTCAGATTGACAGAATTGCTCTCTGTGGCATTTAATGTGCCTTTTAGCAGGAATGGATGGCAGTTCGATCAATATGATGTTGCGATCTTCGTCCTTTGCAGCAGATTTTTGAAATCTTCACTATATCACTGAATTAAATATCTACTAAAATATTTTAAGCTTCATAATTTTACATCTAAATTAACTTAGGATCCTGCTCAGTTCTACACCACAAGCTGATACATTATAAAGTCTACAGTTATTCTTACAACAATATCAAAATAATTCCATGTGCATTTTTGGATAAATGGCGTAGGATGTTGATTGATAATCCAAGTCTCACTTACACAGATTCTGATTTTTCTTTTGGAATTTCAGTTCGGAGCACCAGTCTGTCTTATGGAATTCTTATAGAACTGGGCTTATAGATAGGAGAATTAAACTTATACAAATGTTTTTAGAAAATCTCAATTATTTTAAAGGATCACAAAAATAAATGTCCAAAAGGTGAATATTATCACTTTAAAAGGTTCGGAATCATGCAACAGTGTGAAATAAGAGCGGTCTTCGTCTATCAACTCCACCATCATTAATATATTGCAGTTCCGGTGGGTGAGTAGTAACATGAGCTGTTCCATATCTCCATAGCAGCTGCATGTCCTATACATCAGCTGCTGTGTTGGGGCCTAATGAAATTATCAGCAAGTGTGCTTTGTCCTTTTTGCCGATAGTCGGAGACTACCAAAAGAACAAGTGAGGCTGAGTATTCACAAAACAAGGTTTGACAGAATGATGCTCTTTGAGTTGAATTTTTCTTTTACTTCAAAGCCAGTACTACCATCACACTGTTAGGAGATGCTGCATCCATTTTAAAAAAAAAACAAAAGTAAAATGTTTCTTCAGCTCAAAGCATAAGGAGGAAAGGATTTGTTTGGACTGAAACTAGCAGTGACGGCCGAACATCATTCTGAGCGTAACGTCTTGTGTACATATCTTCTTCTGATTCAAGGCTGCTTTTTTATTCGGATTGTGATACTTCACCAATGTAGCATGCAGCAGAATGGAATATCTGATTCCTAGGCTCTGGAAACAATGAGAGGGAAAGGACAAGGAATGGAAGAATTGATGATTTTGGAACAGCATACAAAGATGGAAGAAAGGTATAAACTCAACAAAAAGAGTACGGGACAATCAACATTAAGAGAATTAAAAGAAGAGAGAAGGTTTACAGAAAGGAGATTAAGGGAGAATGAATGCAAAGGAAAGAGGACAGGCGAGAAAATGCAGAGGAAGTGTTGGAAATATGTTGCCATTCCTTCACTTGTTGCTGCATCAAATGAATTGGAACTCCTAAGCAGCACTCTGGCTGTGCCTCTACCCCATGGACTGCGGTGGTACAAGAAGGCAGCTTACTACCACTTCCTCAAAAGCAACATCCATGTTTGCACACCATGACCAAATTAAATAAAAGGAAGACAATAAAGAGAACAACCATGCAGTTGTTTCTCTCCTCTTCATTGTTATCTCTGTAACAAAATTATCAGAAGTTTTTAAAAGGTTAGAATTCAGTTAAATTGCTCATCTGTTTTCCTTAATCTCAATTTCACTGCATAGCTCCCAGATGCAAACAATTGCTTCACCATGTGCTCCTGATTGGTGTATCAGTGGGAACGTTATTATAAATATAAATTTTGCGATTTATGCAGGTTTCACGGGGACACAGTGTGAAATTGATATCCATGAATGCTTCAGTAATCCTTGCCTCCATGGAGGGGAGTGTGTTGAGCTCTCCTGGAAGAATGTGTATGGAAACAGGTCAGAGTTGCCTGCAGTTTTCAGCTATGAACATGCTGCTGGCTACATCTGTAAATGTCAGCATGGATTTACCGGTAAGCTCACATTATGTTAGGACAAAATTGTATTCTTTGCTTTGAACCCTGACAAATAATTCTCTCCTGTTGGTTTTACATGGTTTAGATTGTTTGTTTATTTGCATGCTAATTTCACAATGCACCGATGCCCATCATTTTACATAATGCTGCCGCCACAGTATGTATCAAATGTAAAAAAAATTGAATGCATTGTAGCCAAATGTAACAAAATGGGGTAATGGCCCTTTCAAGAGATGGCCCAATAGGCAGCCTAAAACCAACAGCCAAAACAGGACTAGCTATCCCGGCCACTGTTCCATGCAAGCTCAGTAACTCATTGGTTTAGTTACGTTGTAACTAACATTCAATTGACACACCAAAGTTATGTCACCAGTAAGATTAGAATCACAGTAACAGTTTGTACAGAATTCATTACTTGAAAAAAAGTCCCACGTAGCATTTGGATGCGATTAATTACAAAATAGATAGGTTTGCAGGAATCAATTGATGTAGATGGATTAACTTCACTGCTAGATTGTTCATGATCAAAGCTTACTATATCCAAATACATCAGTGGTTTTACATCAGTGCAAGAAGTTGAATAAACTGTAATAGAGCAAAACCTGTTTTAGCGGTGTCCTGATCAGAATTCCGAAGAAGAGAATCCCATTTACCTCAGTAGAAACATCTGAAAGAAGAAACCTCTATTAAGAGTTCCCATTTTCTCCAACCATCTTCAGAGAAGCGATCACAGGGCACAATGTAAGAGTTACTTAACCCAAACTTCTAAAACCCAGAAAGCAGCAGCAACAAACTAGTCAGTGATAAAACTATTGTAAATAACAAACACCACATAGTTTAAAGAACCTTAACAGGGACACATTGTGAATGAGATAGGAAGATTGAAACTCTATTCAGTCCCAGGATGACATGACTAATTGAAATACTTCAAATGCTGATTAAAGATATTTAAATAAGTCTCAACCAACATCACAAAATTGATTAGATTCAACCTCTATTAATGTAAATAAGTATTGCAGGAACTGGATGAATTATGAGATTCAGTTGCAGCAGGTTTGTTAATATTAATTGCAGGTGGATGTTTGGAAAAGCTTGTGCTCCTGAGCTATTGATGTGCCCTTGGGGATGATTCATACTTATGTCAGATAATTAGTTAAGAATTGCTAATCAACAGAGAATAAAACGAGTTGGAGTACATGGGTAAGTTTGAAGGCTGCTGATGACAAATGTAACACAGTGTGGAGCTGGAGGAGCGCAGCAGGCCAGGCAGCATCAGAGGAGCAGGAAAGTTGGCGTTCTGGGTCGGGATCCTTCTTCAGAATTTCTGATTTCAACTTTCCTGCTCCTTTGCTGCCTGGCCGGCTGTGCTCCTCCACCTCCACCTCCACACTGTATTATCTCTGACTCCAGCATCAGCATTACTTACTATCTCTGTTAAAAATGTAATATCGGTTGTAAGAATTTAGAGGTGCTGGAGAAAAGTTCAGGTTTGATCCAACATGATTTGTATGTAGGACAATGCAATGGATCATCTGATTTATTTGATGACTGTAACGTTCATGCCAGCAATTACTATATGCCTGACCTGTATTTTAACATTCTACAGTCCAACAACAGCATTTTCTATTGATCTGGCAGAACTAATCCTTCCAGTGGTATGGATTTCCCTCTTTTTCAATGTTAGTATGAATCTGACACGATGTCAAAGGGATCTCTAGGCTCCCAGCAGTGATGTTATCAAAGCAGTATAGGCAGCCAGTCACACTGAAGATTTCTTACAAACTGAAACCAGGAAGTTAAATAGGAGACGATAAGGAATGCAGATGGTGGAAGCCAAAGTCTATTAGTGTGAGGCTGGAAAAGCACAAAAGGTTGGACAGCATCCAAGGAACAGGTAAGTCAATGCTGATGAAAGGTTTTGGTCTGAAACTTTAACTTACCTGCTCCTCGGATGCTGTCTGACCAGCTGTGCATCTCAGGAAGTTAAATACACTGATTATTCTTCTTATGAATTCTACAGAGAGCAAAATAAATGTTTGGGACGTGCATATCAGAAGCTGAAATTACATAAAAATTATGGGCAGAATCTTATAGAGGTCTGCAAGACATGGGCTACAATGAGATGTGGGGAAAAAAATCAGGCAACAAGTATTGCAAAGCCCATCTCAATGGCAAGATCATCTTGTCCATCTTTTTATGCTTCTCACGTGGCATGGCAAAATACTCTTTCAGCAGTGGCAAGATGTCAACTGGTGTTACTATCGATTGTTCAACACGCTGTTAATGCCACAACTCCGACTCCTTTCTCACCAAACAAGCTAGACATCAGCAAAACCAGACAAGGAAACTAAAGTGGGAACCTGCAGATTCAGCTGTCCACTTGCTTCAACATACCTCCATGTTGAACACCAGGCAACATATCAGGCCATGATTTGAGCCAAATGCACCTTCCCCTCTCCCCTCTCTCCTCTCGACCACGTCTATGTAGTGTGCTCTGGAAGCACAGACTGGCATTGCTGGGTGACATTAAGAGTGTAACGCGGGCACCTTGTGACGGGTACCCAGCTCACAGACTAGACTAGGCTGTATCTCAGGTCTGTTAGCTTGCTGTCTTACTGCTCACTCACTTAGCACCTGCCTACTTGCTCACAGCATCCCTGCCTTGCCAACTAGTGCAGTCACAGACGGGCAGTTTGCCTCACAGGCCAGCAGGCCTTGGTCAAAAGGGTGGACTTCTTGTGTGCTATGTCAATGTCACACCTCACCACATGCCAGCAGTTTACTTGGCAGACATGCAGCGATGTGTCCAACTACAAACTGAGTGGTCATCAATATAGTCCATGGAGGCACCAGTCACTCGGGGTGTCAAAATACAGCAAGTGAAAGGCAGTCTCTCATACCAACCCAGGGGATTGGCCACAGCTCGGCATCAGGTCAGAGGGTCTTGGTTGGGGCACTGTGTCTGTGTGGTGCAGGGAGTGGGTCACAGACAGAGAAACAGCAGATTAGTGCCAAGTGCATCCAGAGAAACTAAGGTGGAGAGGGTATTGAGGGTCGGGGTAGGGGGGATGTGGTCGGAGGCAAGTCTGGCTTGTAACCGCTGTGCTGAGCCCTGGCATCTTACTGTTCAGGAATGGGGACCAAGGTGTCTGTGGGTACTCATCAGCTCGATGCCTCCTGGTACTGCCCTGCATCCTTGTGAGGAGGGGGCATCTGGAGTGCACATCAGGTTATCTGCCTCCCTTGCTGACATGCCTTCAGTCCTGATGCCCAGTGGCTGGGGCAATGGAGTGCAGGTCTCTGCCCCCCTCCAGCAGCCCCTGAGGGGTCTGGGCCTGGCTGTCTCCCTGGCAGCTGCCAACTTGTCCATGGGGACAGACAGACAGACAGACTCCCTGCCCTGGGCACCAAGGCCCATTGTGCTCCACATCCCTGCCTGCTGCTCCTGCCCTTCCCTGTGCCTGGGGACAAATTCCCTGATCACTGAGCCCACCAGGAGGGTCCTCTTCTGCCTAGGCCTGAGCAGGAGCCTGGTCCCTGGCAGCCCTACTTCAGAGTGCCAGCGGCCTGGGCCGTTACTTCCTCAGCCAATTGTGGAGCTGTCAGAGTGAGGGGCTCACCAGATTGTGAACCCGCACTGACTAATACTAACATTTCCACTGAGGAGGCAGTATCTGAGCTGGTGGGGTGTACAGGAGGTAGCCTTGCCAGTGCTTCCTTTGGGTCCTCTATACTCTCATCTGAGGTCAAGGAGAATGGTTCTGTCATGATGTCATTGTGAGGCTTGCAGAACATGCAAGATATAAGCGAGATGCTGCAACATTGGAATTAGTATGCAATAATTGACCGTGACAGCAGAGTTGATGGGTGAATGGCAGTAGCATGGAAAGGGGTACTTACTCAGTTGGTGGGACATGGATGTCTTGACAGCCCTGCTCGAGGGGGATCTTGGTCTTCTCCTGCAAGGGTCAGGATTGTTGCCACATAATGGAGGAGGACAGAGATGTCGGGCAATCTCATGTTTTGCAGATAGAACAGATACAAAGGATGCTAGTGTTTCAATGGATATCCAGTGCGCGGCATCTTATTCCGGGAATGGAGCATGATAAGTTAGGGTAGAAATCAGGCATGAGCGACCTTGTAAAGGTATGGCGGGCAATTAATGTGATGAGTTTGGAAGAAAACTTACTAGACTTATGGTGAAAATCCCTCCCAAAAAAATCCAACGCAACTCAGACTTATCCAAAATAAAGTAAAATTCAGCTCTTTTAGAACTTCATATTTAAAAAAAAGCTAATAAATTATCATAATGAAAACAATTGACATTGCATGTACATAAAGTGGTTTTCCAGGCACAGAGTGATCATTCAGCTATTATTTTGACTTGAATTTTCCTAGAAACCCACTTGTACATCATTAACAAAATGCAATCATAACATTGAAAAAAAGAGAAGTTTGTGGTAATTCAATGCTTTTGTTTAAAGACCGTATCTGCAGGGATTTTGGTAATGCAGGCCTATTTTGTCCTTGTGTGGAGAAGTCAGTGTTATATTTGCAAGGATAAATAATGAGCAAGTTGAATCTTCTGCTGAGCTGTGTATATGGTGCAGAAGCGGAAAGAAAAGACAGAAAATCATAATTTTAGTTTGACAACAGCTTGAGGCAAATACTGACAATCCAGTTAGCTACTTCATTTTTCCATTCAAATCATTGAGGTCTGAAGAAGGGTCACTCAACCCAAAATGTTAACTCTGATTTCTCTCCACAGATGCTGCCAGATCTGCTGAGCTTTTCCAACAGTTTCTGGTTTTGTTTCTGATTTACAGCATTCAAAGTTCTTTTGGTTTTTATTTAGATAGACAGCACCTTTGCGTTAAAGGGCAAGATTCCACTTGTATTATATATCTAAACATTTTAAAATTTACCTCAAATTGACAAGTTAATCCCTATCAAATTGGATTCTTCCTGCACCTATTTCACCCAAAAATGAAGAACTT